TAAATTTGCAAAATGAACCTGGTACTAAATAGAATATTTACAGTTTCACTATCCATTTTGTTAACTTTTTAATTTTTTTCCAGAGCTGAACAATCAGTTTTTTTTTCGAATTTGTCAATTCTTTTAATTCTTGCCATGATGATAAACAACTTTTTAAAATATCAATTATAAAATGTTCTGTTTTTAAAGCTTTCCTGAAAATGACTAACATTGACATTATCTGGAACATTCTAGAATATTCCTCTTGAATAATCTAAAGGTAAATATGAATATACATTGTATTTATACATTTCCACCCATTAATATGGATAAATTTTATTTTTATTAAGACAAATTTTTTTTAACTGTTTTAGGACCTGAATATTTAGTTATTATGGCATCTGTGTAAATGTTAATTATATGTATACATAATTTATTCATTAGTTGGAAAAAAAAACAATTAAAATTGTATGTGTAATGAATATTTGCATTAATATATATATATATATATATATATATATATATATATATATATATATATATATATAGTTTATGAAAATTTAGGTAATCCGTATGGGTAGAACTGAGGAGTATGATATCCAGAGAGCTCAATGTAAAATTCAGAGCAGATATGTTTGAATAAAAGACAGACCACGTTAAGATTCCATGTAATAAGTTATTTCACCATAACCCCTTTAACAGGGTTCTGGATCATCAGACTTTACTTCCAAAAGCTGAAATGAAAAATGAAAAGAAATTCACACGTTTTTTACGGACCTCATCAAGTATACGCAAAGTTAACGAAGTGAGGAAGTGAGGTGGGAGAGAGGATATGAGTGTGTCATATGTATCATTTTAGTTTCCTATTTTAACCCCAGTGTGTCGGCTGGATGTTGCTCAAATTTAACGCGTCTCGTCTCTAGATAAAGGTGGTTAAGGGGTGAATGATAAGAACGACATTAAAGGAAGACGTTACAACAACCCCAATAAATTACACGACAGGTTTCATTCAAATTCTTAGACGCTGTCAGTTCGCGTTACTTTAACGTGCATATTTGGGAGGTTAAGGTTTGATAAATATCTAAATTTTAAAACAATCTACGAAGAAATTAATTTGAAATTCGGTGGAGTTTTGGGTATTTTCTATGAAACAGTCGATTGGAAAAATCCATAGACAGAACATTGAAAGAGCAATCCAATTTATATTTAGTAATTTTTTTTTTTTTAAAACTTTTTTCTTAAAACTTGTTAGGTTGACATCTATTCGTTTGATTTTTGTTCATTAAGTAAACTCGTGATTGTTTTTTTTGATTTTTGTTCATTAAATAAACTCGTGGTTGTTTTTATGTACCCAATTATCAACAGTTATTCCCATTTAAATAATTTTATTCTCCACACTGGGGTAGTATCTTTCAATCTCAATTAAAATACCAATCTAAACTTTCCTTTCGTGCTATTTAAAATTCACTTCCAATTGGAGAATATTAGAGGAGAAATTTGGAAGAGATGTCACTAGCAGAAAATTAGGTCCTTCTTTTACAATTTTTTTATCTACACATGTCTTAAACCCCTATTTGTAACCACATACCTATATCTTCTTATATGCCTATGAGTTCCTATATACACCTACACACACATTCACACGAAACGACCATGTATATTTCCATCTTTACACATATACACCTGCAGAGAAAACGCACATCCACATGTCTCCATACCTATCTCCATATATACTTATACTTACATATATACATATACACACAAGGACATCTGTATATCCATATATATTCATACGCACATATATATATTTACACATCCATACGTATACACATATACACACATACATACACACACCCATATATGCATACATACATACATACATACATATACACACACACATATGCATAATATCTACATATCCATACCCACATATGCGTTAATTTGCACTTACATATATCTACACACGTATTTGTCCCTATCCTCATGTCCACCCGTGCATCCACTTATGCCTGCGTTCGAAGACTATCTCAGTATTTAATTACATTATCTATATCTTTACACATATAATATTACCCGATCTTTCATATTTATGGCAAAACATATAAGTACCTATCTAATTGTACATCTCCACACTCACAAAAAAAAAAAAAAAAAACCTGGTATGCTTCTTTTTCCGTATAAAAACATATACATGTACATATCAACAGGTGTCTCAGTGTGCAAATACATTATCATAGTTGTATACATATAGTCATGTGTTAGCGTTCACGTGTGCATAATAATTCTTCTAAAACAAAGGGAATATAAAACATTCAAAATTGCTGTTCCTATATGATTATTTCTTAGTGTACTTGCTTAGGTTTAGGTTGTTTTTGTGCCGGCATTTAAAAACTAGTTCATTGTGTCTATTTAGTAGTATGTCTGGATCTTTATGTTTGATTATGAATTTTTTTCTCCTTCAAACATCTCAAGTTTTGGGGTCTGTCTCTTGATATTATTTTTATTTGTTCTGGCTCTTTTATATTATTCTCCACTTTAAGTTTTGTCTTTTTTTATTATTTTTTCCAAAAATTGTCATCTGTTTGCTCAAGCTCATCAAGTATATTACGTGCTTCTTTCCTCTGTCCCTTTTTCCCTCAATCTCTCCCGTGTGTATCAGATTTTCCAAGCATTCCTTCCTCATTACGTTCCTTAAAAATTTCAACTGCCTCTTCCAGATGTTAAATATAAGCTTCATTTATGTTTCCATTCTCTCCAAAACCTTGTTGTTGCTCACATGTGCGGCCCATGGTATCCTCAGCACCTTCTCTATAGAACTACATTTCTGTTGCTTCAAGACTCTTCTTCATCTTTGAGGAGATTGTCAAGCATTTACTGCCATACAGGAGGACAGACATCACGTAACGTTTCAATACACTTTTCTTTCTAACGAAATTTTTCTGTCTCTTAATACTCTGCTTTGGTTTTGAAAGGCATCTTTGGTCACTTTAATACCTCTTCGGATCTCAATGTCGCACTTTCTATCCTCTGTTAGAACACTTTCCAGGTATTTAAATCTTTACCTGTTTGATTTTAGTATCCTCGACCTGTAATTTGCATTTTGAGTTCGTGCTTATAAGTTCAACATGTTCCATTTTGGTCCCTGTGTTTATGCTGTCAACACTATGTCATCTGCATATCTTATATTGTTAATATTGTGGGATTTTGTCGTAATGAATCCTTTATATATTACTTAAATTTTAACATAATTGCCTATTCGCTGTATAGATTGAATAAATCCGGTTAGAAATCATTGTCTTACACTTTCTATTTTTGTATATCTGCTGAACTCATTTTCTGTCCGTATGCAGGTGGCTTGCTGCTAGTATAGATTCTTAATTATTCTAACGTATTTCCCGAATATGTGATGGATACTGAGAAGCTCTAAGAGATCTTGTTCGCGTTCTTTGTCGAACGCCATTTCAAATTTACTAAAATATGATCGTCAATTTATGATGGTTCGACTAAACTAGTAATTAAATATTAATTTTAATGATTTTGAAAGCAGAATTCTTTCTTACGTGCAATAATAGTGCTCATTGTTAGAAATCTTATATTGATTCCAGAAATATATATAAAACAATGCAATTACAAAAATGATTAAAGATGGCCGTTATAAATTAGTACAATTCTGTTATTATGATTTTGATTTCTTTTCTTCTTCTTCTTCTTCTTTCTTATTCTTCTATGTAAATATATTCAAATGACATCGCTTCACAAATATTGTATCTTGGGTAGCTATATATGGCTTATTAGCAGTTTTTCTTGCTTTGTTAAGTCCCTCGACCTTCGTTCCGACATCCATTCGCACAAACCCATCAGGTAAGCGGTTTGCTACTTTTCCTTATCTCTCTTGCCCCCAATAAGCCCAAAAGTATTAATGATATTAGAAGGAGAATTCCTTCCTAAATTCCTGCATTGATATAATTCTTTGATTACTTTGGTGGTAATTATAAACAAGCAATTGCAATTATGGCTGTTATTTCGGGGAAACTGGGGTTTAAATAATTATTTTTTAGATTAGAATTCGATGTGGCCGAATAAAGGAAGCAACCAAAAGGATCGAATTTGTCATATATTTTCACTGCTCAGCAGTAAATGAACGAGTAAGACAAATTAAAAATAACCATTACACCACGTTGAATTTGCCCTTTGTGCTTTAATCAACTGATAGCTTGTATTTTGAAAAAATCAAGAAAGTATATTTGAATATAGTGAGGGTCAAAATTGACTACCCGCTTATAACATTATGCTTCCACATGGAATTCCCTTAGCGTTTCCTCAAAAATTTCTTAATCTTTTAAGACCGAAAGTAGATATTTCAGTGAGCATCGAATTCGCTAATAGTAAAACTATTTTCCGGCTTACAAGACGCACTTTTTTTTCCTTAAAAAATACCCTGAGGTCAAACCCTGCCATCTTCCGATGCTTAATAGTGGCGAGAAGAAATTTAAAGTTGGACTCTACCTCCAGTGGTTCGCCGTCTGGTGTTGCTTATGCTATTCACTATTACTTTGGATTTCTCTGTGTACCATTAGCGCTTAGATTAGGCACAAGGTCGAAAATATGGAGAACGTATCAAGGATCGAACTCACGAATTAGTAATAATTGAGCTAGCAAGACAAGATTGTTAACCATTAGACGAACGTTCATGCAGAAAATATAATCAAATACAAAATCAATTAAATATGACCGCCATTGCTTGACACTGCTGATAAATTAGTTTAAATATATCTTTTGTATTAAATTATATACCATTATTCAAAAGCGATAATTAATCTGGTGAAGGAAAGTGTAGATATTTTTTTCTTTTATATCACTAACACTATTTTATACATTTTTTGCATTTCTTATAATATTGTAGGCGTATATCTTTCAAAGAATATCTTCATATTTACGTCATTATAAAGAACTCCACAAAAATATCTTCACAATTTTTACCATTTATTGTTAAATCTATTTTTAGTAATACTAACGGTTTATGGCCATTTTAAGGTGAAACACCGGTTCTTGTTCGATCATCGAAGTTAAGCAATGTCTAGCCTGATCAGTACTCAGATGAGTGACCGTTAGGTAATGCTAGGTGCTGTAAGCTAGGTGACAGTCTAGCTACTAATCCTAAAAGAAAACCTCGATATATAGAGGTGCTTCTGCGCTCAAATGTTGAACGACCTGCCGGCAACGTTAGGTGAGCGAGTAACACTAATAGGAAAAGCCGAAATCAAATTACAGCCTAACTTGTGGTGTTTGTTTTGCATTTATAACGTATCGAAGGGCATGGACTCACCTCTTTTCTACCAACCAGCTACCGGTTGAATAGTAAGAGAGACTGAAGTCTCTATCCTTGGGTGTAAGCCAGTTCAAACTACTTCCCGGAGACGACAAGGGGAAACCGCTTTGTTATCTTTCCTAAAGAAGAATGACAATAAAGGAAAGGAATCTGTGGAGAGCCATGACTGCTCACTGCCTGAAGTGACCTGGTATTTCTTTCATTAGGAATAACATGAATTCATATAAGTTTATATAGAATTAATAACCAGAATTGGCAGCATCCAGATAACAGTATTACGGCAAACATTCTGTAATAGGAAGAGAGTAGGCGTATTGAGGATACTTCCTGTCATTAATCTCTGATGTAAGTCTCCGGTTATTAATATCAGGAACATTGAATAATAATAATAATAATAATAATAATAATCCTCTGGGACATACCAATTCAGACTGATAGGGAAATAAAAGCCAACAGACTAGATATTGTCATAAAAGACAAGAAATTCAGGAACTGTTTGCTTGTTGACATAGCAGTACCATCTGTGAGAAACTCCTCCATAAAAATTATCGAGAAATTGTCCAAATACAAGAACCTGGAGATCGAGATTAACAGGATGTGTGGAATGAAGACTGAGACTGTAAGAATAGTAATCAGAGCTCTGGGAATCATGAGAAAAGGAATGGACAATTTTATTAACAGAGTCCCAGATACATCAACAAATTGCCCAGAAGATTGCCCTACTAGGAACATCCCATACACTAAGAAAAGTGCTATCAGCTAAATGACAATTCACCTATAGGGCCTAAGGAGCATGGTTTGAACCCGGCTCTACAGGATACAAAGCGGGAAACATAACACGCAAATAATAATAATAATAATAATGCATCATTCAATAAATACATGGATCTCGAAATAGAAATCATTAGAATGTGGTACCACAAAACAACAAAATTACCCATTGTTATATAATTAGTTTGTTTAATGCTATCCATTTTAGTTGTTGCGAATGTTGCAAGTCTTCAATTGATACAGGTTTTGTTATATGGTAATGATTTTTGCGATTCTGTAGCGCCAGTCTATAAGATCTAATGAAGGATTGTCATATTTATGGCTTACATGACTTATTTGCTTGAAGTCATCTGATAAAACCTTTTTGTATTAGTATTTGTATTAGTGATAGCTTAATCACTACTGAATTAGTTGGACGCCTTAGTATTATGGTGTATCTGTAAGGGTGTCACAGATTTTTGATTATCCGTGAGGAATTTGATTATCCGTGAGGAATTTGATTATCCGTGAGGAATTTGATTATCCGTGAGGAATTTGAAAATGTTTATAAGAAATTGGATCGAGAAAACTTGTTGATATTACTCAATCAGATGTTTGAAAAAATACTTGTTGCCGAAATACACATATTTATATATCTGTACATATATAAAGGGCATAGGGCATTTACCTGTATGCGTGTGTGTGTGTGTGTGTGTGTGTGTGTGTGTGTGTGTGTGTGTGTGTGTGTGTTTGGTCCGGCTAAAAATATAAAACTACAATAATTCATTATAAAGTAAATATATATCCAGACATATCATCCCCCAAGCCAGCTTTTTGCTAAAAATTATAATTAAATTGATTAGAATGTATTCAAAATTCTCAGAATTAAAAAGTGAATAATTTTCATTCCTGATTAGGATTATCGTTCGTTTTTACATTTTTATTCTGCTGATACTTTCGAAACACTATACATGTATGTATTTTTAAAATTTCTATTTTCTTGAATTTATTTTCACATCTATAGTAAATAAAAGCTTAATTAAAAATGATATCAAAACAGCAAACTAAATTCAAAAAAAGAATATTAAATATAATTATTTGATAAAAAGTTTCATATTTATTTATTCAAATATTCAAGTGTGTGTTTATATGTCTGTGTTCGGCTAAAACATCTAAATAAAGTAAATAAACTTAAATTAAGATATATTTAAACATATTTAATTTCATCATTTTTTAAAGTAAAAAATATAGCGAGCCTTAATTTATCGAAAAATAATAAGTTGCTCTTTATTTTGGAGGGGATTATTATTAGTAAAAAAAAAGTAAATAAACTTAAATTAAAATATATTTAAACTTGAATTTATTTTCCCAATTATAATAAATAAAAGTGAAACAAAAAAATAAATATTAAAACACCGAAGTGAATTTAAAAGAAGAAGAATATTAAATTATTATTTATTTACTCAAATATTCGAATATTGAATTGAATACACTAAAACTCAAAATTAAATCATTATTGTGCAATTTTAGGCTCCAGTTTGAATTCTCAAATTCGCATGTATTAATCAACCAGCGACTTTACTGCAAACGCGCTGAAACCTTTGAAAAAACAAACGACTATGTTTACGTCTGCTACGAAATTTCTAAGATCACTCCAGAAAATGGCCAACAATAGTTTATCTCCTAAAATTGATATTCGAAACTTATGGAAAATATTTATTAACAAATAAACTTCTGAGTCTAGTAAAATCTAACTTTTAGATTTCCGGTAATAGGCACCAGAATTTTTTCTATATAAATAGGATCGCATAAATGAACGACGCTAGAGATTTTCAGTTTTTCCGTAAACTTTTGGATGGAGGCGGTTGTTCGTTGTTGTGGACATGAATTCTCAAAACTCTTTCGCATAATTTATTACGTGAATATATTTTTAATATTCTTACAAAGCCTAGCGATTTTAAAGCAAATTTAGCACACTCTAAACATACGAATTGAGTTTGATTACAAACGTTAGTAGAAGCTATAATACAGCTTCCCCTCTCCTCAAATGCTACTGCTAGAAAATTACATGCATTCATAAAACAACATAAATACGTGACACTTTCTTTATATAGACACTTCCTGTTTCTTCTATCTATTTTAAAGAAATACAAAAAAGCTCAATAATAAAATTTATTTAAATTTGTGGAGCGGTGTTTTAAGATCGTTCATTTCTTCCTTTTCAATTGCTTAAACTATATATATATATATATATATATATATATATATATATATATATATATATATATATATATTTAATGTGCGTTTAATATCCGCCGGTCTCGGCAATCCTTAAGATCTGCGCCCCAAAATTTATGTCTCACCTGCTAATGGCAGTGCAACATCTGTTATGGCTGTACAGGCCCACACGGGAGTGACAGTCTAGATTGCATTAAATGTATGTGAAGATGTGATGCATCTCCGCCAATGTCGCCTTGTTGCTTTATTTCTGTCGAGCGCGCTTCTCCTCCCCATCCCTCAGTATAAATCATGTCTCTAGCGGGAGCAGTCGTTGGCGACGTCTTTCCACATCTTGATGCCTATCATGTCCGTTGCCCTCATGTCCCTTTTGCAGGCGTCCTTGAAATGAATATATATGTGTGTAATTTGAATAAATTAAACAAAAATGTCTGCTTATTTTATCAAAATTTCATATTCAAATATTTTTCCGTATATTACAATTGAATAAGGCATGAAATGCAACTGTAAGATACGGAAAAATATTCGTGAATATAGAAGGATTATGATAAAAAATAAGCAGACGTAATGTTTGTAATTTATTCAATCAAAAATGCCTAAAAAGAATTTGCAGCCTAAATACACATGTACACACACACACACACACACACACATATATATATATATATATATATATATATATATATATATATATATATATATATATTTTTGCTTATAACAAATTAACCTTTCAGGCTATACTTAGAAAACAACTTTTTTGTGAATTATGTCAATGAAAGTCATGTAATTTGTTTCTGCAATAAAATCCGAGTGGACCATTCTTTACATTCATTTTTATAATTTACATCCTGACTTGTAGAATCTCAAGTCAACCATCCAATGAATTTAGTCAGTTTATTTTACATATTGAATGAAACTCTTCACTTGCTCCATCTAAATTCTCTTCTTCTTTTTTCTCCTCATCTTTTTCTGCCATCTTTCACTAATTAAAAAGATGGCTAATAACATGTAGAAATCTTGCAATAGCTTTGCAGTCTTGTCTTCATAAAAGACTCCTGTATCTCGATTTGTCTATTTTATGAGTCTTGGCTGAATGGCAAGAATTCGAGCTTCTTAACGCCGTAATTGATTTCCGGAGGCAAATCTCATATGACAAGAGATGGGGTGGGAAATTGGTTGCAAATATATGTACGGTGGGAAATGTGGTACACAAGAAAAACAGAAGTCTTAGAAGTATGAAAAGATAAGAACAGGTGTCTGAAATTTAGTGCTTGGAAGATAAAGGTATTAAAAAGAAGGAATAAAAGACTTGGGAATAAAGCGACGGAGGAGGAGGATAGGTAGAGAACGGAGGAAGAGGTATAAGAGTCTGTCGAGGGTACATGAAAAAATTATGAGATCATTTAATAATTGGTATAAAGGGCCTTGAAAATAGATGCACAAAATCGAGAAAGAATATCAGATAAACAAAGAAAGGATAGCGAGTTAGGGAAGAAATGATAGCAAGCTAAGAAAGAAGAAAGGAAGATGGATAAACAAAGAATGGTTAACGCGTTAAGAATGAATGTATAACAAGGGGGTTAAGAAAGAAAGAAAGAAAGAAAGAAAGAAAGAAAGAAAGAGAGAATGATGAACCGAAAGGATGAACGGATGTAAAGAAAGAAAGAAAGAAAAAATGAGAGAGAGAAAGAAAGGAAGACAGAAAAAAAAAGAAAGAAAATGGACGAAGAAAGAAAGGAAACGAATAAACAAGGAAAGAATTCTTTGTTAAGAAAGAAAGGATAGCAAGCAAAGAAAGTAAGAAAAAAAGAAAGAAAGAAAAAAGAATGAAAAAAAGAGAGATGAAAATAAAAGAAAAGAAAGAAAGAAAGAAAGAATGAAAAAAGAAAAATGAAAAGAAAGATTGAAAAGAAAGAAAGAAAAGAAAAGAAAGAAAAGAAAGAAAGAAAAAAGAGAGAGAGAGAGAAAATGATGAAAGAAAGGATGAACGGATGTAAAGAAAGAAAGAAAGAAAAAATGAAGAGAAAAGAAAAAAGAAAGAAAATGAAAGAAAGAAAGAAAAAAATGAAAAAACAAAAAAAAAATTTTGAAATAAAAGAAAGAAAGGATGAAAGAAAGAAAGAAAGAAAAAAAGAAAAAAAAAAGAAAGAAAGAAAAAAAAGAAAAAAGAATAGCAAAAAAAAAAAAAAGAAAGAAAGAAAAATTTTAAGAAAGAAAGAAATAGAGAAAAAGAGAAAAAAAAAAAGAAAGAAAGAAAGAATTGAAAGAAAGAAAGAAAGAAAGAAAAGAAAGCTAAGAAGAAAGAAAGAAAAAAAAAGAAAGAAAAAAAAAAGATGATTAGAGAAAGAAAGAAAGAAAAAAAGAAAGAAAGGAAAGAAAAAATGAGAGAAAGAAAGAGAGAAAGAAAAAAAAAGGAAAGGAAGAAAAGAAAGAAAGAAAGAGAGATGATTATAAGAAAGAAAGAAAGAAAGAGCAAGTTAAGAAAGAAAGAAAGAAGGAAAGAATGAAAGATCGATAAAGAAAGGAAGGATAACGCCAAGAAAATGGAAAAAGAACGAAAAACAGTGGCTTAAGAAAGAAAGAATCAAACAAACAAAACCGGCAAAGAAAGAATGAAAATGAACAAAATGGAAAGAAAGAGAGTAAGAAAGAAAAATGAAAGAAAGAAAGAACGGATAAAGAAAGAAAAATGGAAAAGGAAGGAAAAACAGCGAGTTGAGAAAGAAAGAAGAAAAGAGAGAGAGAGACAGATTTCATAGAGAAAAGAATAAATAGAGACGAAACTTATAGGGAGGGGAACGGAGAGGAAAACTATACAAGAGAATAGAAAGAAAGGAAATGCAAGCGAGGGAAGATAGTAAAAAACAAAGCAACAAATGAAGGGAATTAGTAGAAACCAACAAAAAGAAAAATGCATGACTAAAGAAAGGAAAAGACAATCAAAGAAAGAAAGAAAAAAAAGGAAAGCTCATGAATGTAAATGATTTTCCACTAAGTAATTAACATCAATAGAAAATCGAAACGAGTAAGAAGTCAGTGCGCGATTTACTTGAGACCCACCAACGGTTAAATAAGAAACACTGAATACGTGATGCGAAATCCTAAATCACCTTTATGTCCTTTTCACTGACGAACGGAAAGATGATTGAAAAAAAACAAAAGCAGCTACATGTGAGAAAACAAATTAATTGGTGATTAGAACATCGGAATATAGATTTCTTCTTCTACCTACCGTTTCCTTTCATGATGTGACCGATCATTGTTCTCCACAACTTCCTATCATTTTTAACCCTTAGTAACATTTGTACCTTTGCCAAACCTTCCGCACCAGTCTCCGTCTTCTATTCACACGACCCTGTCAGGTCAGTTGCCTTCCGCTGTTCCTTCTGCTTTGGATATACCCCGGTGGCTCTCAAATTCTCCAAGTCTTCCTTTTTTGTATATATTCACGAAATTTTCTTTCTCATTCTAAGTATAAGTGTTCATTTTGTTTCGATTTACTTCTTCGGTGTTTACGCGTTTCATCTGTGAGGAGATTGTCAAGCATTTCTTGTCATACAAGAGGATCAATATTACATAATAGTTCCACACACTTTTCATTGTTTCTAACGATATCATCTAGTTTCGTTGTACTTTGTTTAATTTTGGGCTATTCAAATGTCCATTCGTTGAACAAAACATTATGACCAAAATATTAGTTAGACTATAAAAATCAAACCAAAAATCGGACGAAAAACATAGCTATAACTGTTATATAACGATAAAAAAATACTACGTTACTTAAAAATCGAAAACCAAAAAGAGTAAATAAAAATATACAGTATAATAAATAAATAATAAAAAACAAGTAAAATAAATTAATCTAAATTCATCCAAATAAATAAACAAACTAACAAACAAATAAAGATAATCAATCCAATTTTTTTTGGATTTTGGCGTCTCCAATTTGGAGTTGGCACCTTGGGATTTTTCTCTTCCTGACAGCCATACACTGAACTGAATAGATTTTTTGATCATACAGTGCTGATAGCAGACACAGAAAGGAAACTACAAACCATACTACAGAATGTAGCGACGGAGAGTGAGAAGAAGGGACTAAGCATAAACTACAAGACAAAATGCATACGGGGATACTTAAATAATGCAGGTACAGAAATATCTGGGAAGTGTTCTAACAGAAGACGGAAGATCCAACACTGAAATCTGACGAGGTGCTGGGGTAAACAAAAGCTAAGCAGAGTATTACGAGACATAAAGTTTCGTTGGAAGCAAAGTTTAAAAGTACTGAACTTTTACATTTTATCTGTCCTCCGTTACGACAGCGAATGTTGGACAATCTCCTTAAAGATGAAGAAGAGACTCAGAGACAACAGAGGTGTGGTTCTTAGAAGGGAACTAAGGAAACCAAAATGAGAACATGTAAGCAACAATGAGGGTTTGAAGAGGATGTAAACAAAGAGGAAACTTATACTTACCATCAGGAAGAGGCAGCTGAAATTTCTGTGATATGTATTTATTTATGGAGGGCTCGGAAAATCTGATACCCACAGGACGGATAGAGGGAAAGAGGGAAAAAGGAAAGCAAAACGTGACAGAATGGGCTTGAGCAAATGTCGGAATAGGGTTTGGAAGAAATAACAAAAAGACAAAACCTATTGAGAGCTACAGGAGAAGGTGGAGGGCCATGATTGCCTACCCGCTGAAGGGATACGACACGTAAAAGAAAGAAGAGGATTAGTTTTCTACGGTTTATCAACCTTTTATTTAAATTTTTTTTCATTTGAGATATAATGATTTATTAGTACGTTCAACTAATTAACCCATAGATGGGGGAGAAGAGGTAGATTCGTGTCTTCCCTAAGTGTATTTGCATCTAAATGGAGATAAGAACCTGACAGGAATTGGAAATCGGCTCTCCTATTTTCTGTTTATTACTCCACCCACAGATCTGAGTTTACAGAACCTTGTATTTCCAAGCGGTCACACGTCTAGGTGCTGACCATGCTCGACGTTGCTTAACTTCGCTTATCGTTAGAGAACTGCTGCTTCAACGTGATCAAATGTTACTAAGTCGCATTTCGAGTTCGTGAAAGTTAGGTGACTACCTTTAGTAATACCTGCATTGACTAAACAATATTTTGAAAAAGTTCATTCCTTCTTTATGTGTGTGCGAGTGTGTGTGTGTGTGTGTGTGTGTGTGTGTGTGTGTGTGTGTGTGTGTGTGTGTGTGGACTCTTTTGACAGATCGGAAGTGAAACATTAGATTACCCATACAAATGATCCGATGATAACGTTCTAGATTAATACAGGTCTAAATACATTTTTTGGGTGGGTGGGTGGAGAAATAATCCAACGAAATGTCCTAGCAGACCTCCTCATTTTTACTGTCAGAGAATTTAATTTCGAGGACAAAACATATAATTAAATATGTCCTACAAGGTTTGAATTCAGTTTTGTTCTCATAGACTGGTTGACAAATAAGGTAAACAAATCTAGTATGTCCTGTTATTTAACCCATAGTTTTGGGTTTTTTTAAAAAACATCACTTACTTTGATTTATTAGACATTGAATTTTGTCAACATGTATTCTCCATAGCTTGCCTGAATTTTTAGCTTATACAAATAGATTGATGAATATTCATGTTCTCTTTATAAATAAATACTAAAAAATAAAATTATTGCATTTATGTCAGGTTTTGAAGAAATATTAATAGATATAAGATTTGTTTTTTACGGTTTTAATGTTTTGTTATTTATTTTTTCGTCAAATATTTTAGGGAAAAGGAAAAAATAATTTTTCTTTGACGGATCATAGGCGAACAGGGAAAAAAAAGAAAAAGAAAAAAGAAAAAAAAAAAAGAAAAGGGTTATTTTGGATGATAAAACAAACATGTCGAAAAGAGTTTCATTACAATGACAATGAATTGAGTGGGTTAAAAGGGTGTTATTAAACAATTGGTACGAGAAAACATCTAGGTCACCTGAACAAGAATTGACCGATTTCCACTTATCCGCGAAAATGGAATTGTGTTATCAAGAAATGTCACCAAAAAAAAAAACTTTTGAAACGTTAGATTTTGATAATTGACAAAACACAGGTGTAGCTAAAAGCCTTAGCTGGGTATGGAAAATTAAAATCCCACACAAGTAGTTTCACTGGTTACCGAATTTTTTTTTGACAAAACAGACTTTGCCCTGCGATAATAAAATTTTTTATTGTTATCAGACACATGAACCGAAGGAAAATGAAATATTTTTTTTTCTGCTTTGAGACGCCAGACTGGCTGAAAACTTGGAGAAAAAATTTTTTTAGACCATGTCGGAAAATCCAGCCATCTAATGCATTAACGATAAACTGCTTGACAAACGCCACGTGTTGAACAAAGAGTTGTCATTGTTATCCGCCCATGATAACGGCGATTTGAAAGAAAGAAAAAAAAAAAAAGAGGAGATAATCATTTTTTTTTAGTTAAGCAAGGTATTTTTTTTTCCAAAACAAAGCCACGGGTTGTTCACGCCCGACTAAGACGTCATTGGCCAAGTGGTGATCACATGACGCACGAAGGAGGAGGAAAGATACCCGACCAAGACCTCATTGGCCGAGAGTGGTCACGTGACGCACGAAGAAAACAGTCGACGCCCCCATCCAGAATATAAGTATGAGAAGCCGCTACGAAGAAGTGGGGAGGGCAGTTCACGCCCCTCAGAAGCATGGTGAGAAAGTGGGAGTGAGAAAAAAGTTACCAAAAATGGAAAAAAACCAGAAATGGAAAATCCCTAACCAGAAATAAAAGAGGTGGATATGTATTTAGAATTATCGAATAAAAAACCCCCCGACGCCAACAGACCCACCCCGGTTTTGGTCGGCGTCAATAAAAGTTCGAAGCCCCAACCAGACAGAAATCAGTTCAGTCGGACCCAGGCGGGAGAGAAGAGTTCGTTCCATTCAGCCGCTGGCGGGCAGAAGAGTTGAGGCCCAGAGTGCCGAGTTCGAAACCGCGGACAGAAGAGAAGTTTAATTCAGCCTCGGACGGCAGAGATGAGTGCCCAGTGTTGAAACCGCCTCATTAGCTGACCAAGATTCACGCAAAATTTTGGACTCTTCTTCAACCAAGAACAATTAGTTTTGAAGAGCGACTTAGAACCAGACCACAGAAATAAGTTTTTTTCGACTTTCGTCCAAAGACACACCGAAACACAAATTTCTTAGAGAGCAAACAACTTGAAGCGTTAAAACTTGCCTAGCGAAAACGACGTGCCACAATCCACAGAACGGGTCGGGAGGTAGATGCAGTCCTATGTATCGAACAACTAGACATAAAAAGTTTGTTACCTTTTTCTTTGATACTTTGAACTTTTTGAGTTTTCATTTTATTTTCTTTTATGCATATTTGTGTGTTATCACCCCCGTTGAACTAAATTTGCATTACGGCCCCAACCCCTGTTTGATCTCGTCTGTCTAAGATCAATTCACAACGTGGGTAGGCAGACTGGAGATCAGTGCAGTTACCCTGGTAACCAGGCGTTGGAAGCAGGTTGGGAACGGCGAGGCTGATATCAAATCTAACCAGATTCCCACCCGAATCACCAAAAGGTTAGAACGTCACGTTTGGGTGCAGCGACATACCGGACGGAGCAGCGAGGAGCGAACAGCTGGCGCCGCGGCGAAGACGTCACAATTGGTGCTGTTTAGGGACGTCACATCTGGTGTCGTGACCGGGATAGGACCCTGGAACGACCACGTCACAACTGGCGCCGTGGTAGATCAGGATAGAACGTCACA